ACTTACCAACTGAAAATGGTAACTATACCCTGCCTAAAGAAGTACAAGACGACCAATGAAAACTTCAGTATCTCCAAAACAACAGTTGCATGGAAGTCTGGAAGAACAGCAGGCATTTTACTTTGTTTTGATGTTGTAACTTAGCTGCTTGATGAGTGGAATTTACAGTTTCTTTCTGAACAGCTACCTTTCAAATTTCAGAAGCACAGCATGAAGTGCTTTCAGTGGTATTTATTACAAAGAGACTACTAGTATCAAGTCATATTTGAGCCAGTCTATAAAAGTTTTTTTGCAAATAAATTGTAAAAACATTTAAAAAGCATTAATCACCTTAAAAACATTCATTTCTGCATACATTTTTCTACATAAGTTAAATCATATTAGGAGGACATACTTTTTAAAATATGGCTTGAGCTAATTTTAAACATGGTTGGAAAATTTTGGCCTGCACTGATTAAAAACTGTATTTAAATGAAAGGAAAATTTAACCACAGAAACTGTGCTCATTTTAGAAAAACAAGCATATCACTGCCAAAGTGCTGTCCTAAGTTTAGATTGCTGTCTGACTAATACATCATAATTATGAGAAACTAAAATGGATTTCTAAATGTTTCAAGATGAAACAGCCATTGGGTAATTTGCAAGATACGCAATTATCTTCTGAATTCAAACACATAATGCTACTACTTGATCTGAACAAACGCAGGCTGTAGATCGTTGCTTGTGTGGAGATTGGGGAAATCAATGTTAAAAATCAATACCAACACCAGATAAGAGTAACCATAATGAAACCTAAGAGCGAAATTACTAAGTGATGTGGAATTAATTACTCAGACATAAAGAATTTTCTTTGAGGAAAAAAAAAAGGTTTTGAATCTTTTATCTACTGCCTCTGTCTGTCCAAGAGCTGATCAAGCTCAAGAGAGGATTCTCAGCACTTATCTCTGTTAAAACTGCATCAGTGGCAACAGGAGGCATTTCATGCAAGCTCTGACATACAGCAAGATGGTAACATTTTTACTTTCAAACACCAGAGAGGGTCTTCCTAATAGATTTGAAGGGTCATACAGCATATTTTCTGGTACTTCACAATTAACATGTATATTTGGTGGAATCATTATCATACTGACCACGCAAAAGTTAAAAGGAAAAAAAAAATAATCACACACTAACTCCAGATCTGTATGTTCATTTCATGTATAACCATAATAAATTCCAGTTACTTTGAACAGTAAGTTAAATCTTCATCTGCAACAACCATTACCAGTTTGATGTAACTAACAGGACTTCAGGAAATCAAAGTAACTCCATTCCTGTTTAAAAATCACGATTGTGTGTATTTGTCAGTACCTGCACTGCCTGCTATTGTTTGTCTTTGATTTAGCAAGAGAAACAAATGGCTTCGTTGTGTTTTATTTCTTGTTCTCCTGTGAAAGCCTAGGTGTTTGGTTATCTTTTGATTTTTCTGACTATAACCAGCTCCATTGTTTTACAGATTTTGTGAAGGAGTACAAAACAATCTATCATTCACATACTAAAGCACCCAGGAACTGACAGCATGTCTGGGGACGCAGCAGTTTATAGGAACACTTCCATGGTTCAAACAGTAATTTTATAAAAGACTAGAGCATTTTCAAGAAAAATTAATTCTCTTTCTACAAGCAACACGTGGTGATCCACATAACTGCTTCATATAGACTCATCAGGCAGTCTATTCATTTAGCCTTCATGGCACCTCTGAAGCTGCCATCAAAAGAGAAGAGCAAATAGATATAGATTTCTTTCAACCGTAAGATATGCTGGATGCCTTAAAAACAACAAAACCACCATAAGCTCAATGAGAAAGCACTTGAGATTAAGCAATACCTTTCAGAACCACTGGAATGAAAGCAATATCTGCTCCCTCGACACCTAAAATAACATAAATAGCAGGTATTATACCAAAGGATGCCAAAAAAACCCCCTCAAGAGTCATGGGAGTTTTAATATCACAGATGCAAAGTCTTGGAAAGGCATGTTTAAATGCAACAAGATAAAAAAACAGTTTTGTTTCAAGGAATCCCCGGGGGAGGGGGGGAACCACCAAAAGAAAAAAAACAAACCCACACCCAAAAACACCCACTAAACCTGCTGTCAGATTAAAGGCAAATTCATTTTCTCAAACCCATGAAAGGATAGTGTATGAACCTAGTGGAGCAATTAATTTTGTACTGACAAGTAAAGACTCCCCCAGTTTTGAACCCCTAAGCATTAAGAAACCCTAATACAAACAAATCAAATTAAGTAAATTAAGTTTATTATAGCAACACAAGTTCACAAGCAAACTAGTTCAGCTGAGAAAAAGACTAGGAAAAAGAAGAGACATTTTGTCTGTTTCAAGAAATCTGCTAACGTTGCGCTCTTGCATCTCACTGTGCCCTGCAGCAGCAACAATGGACTTTATAACGCAGAATTGTCTTTCGGGAGCAATTTACTTTTTGGCCAGGTCAACACAAAGTCACATAAAACCAAACCGTGAGCCTTTGCCCACACTCAGTGGGGTCCTGTTTCAAAAAGTCAACTCTCTAAAGGTTCCATTTTCCCCTCTCTTAGCTCTAAGTGCTGACCAAACACCACACATGCAACACAAACAAGCCAGCTCTCCTCAGTCCATAGCTAATAAAACATTAAACCAGATTATGGAACTCAATACCACATACAGAACATGAGGAATCTTGTCTGGGTGTTCTCAGCACCACAACCTGAAGAAACAAGGGAACACGGAAGGGATAACCTTGAAAAAGACTGTAAGTGGAGAACAGGAGAATGAAATAAGGAAAGAAAGAAGGACAGAGGAAAACAAAGATTGTTCGTAAACCATGACCAGGTAGGAGGAAAGCATAAACTGAGACAAAGACTCTGCATGTCCCAAGAAGCTGGAAGAAGCCAACAAAAGGAGAAGGTGTGTTTTGGCAAAGCAGAGGTGGCAGGAGTGAGGGGCAGCAGCACGTTGAAGGACAGGACAAGTGAGAGGAAAGAAAGGACATAAATGAGACTGCCTAAACAAAAATTAAGAGATAGAAACTCTACAGGGAGAGGCCTTGGAGAGAATCACATAGAAAGCCCGCAGAAGGACAAGAGGATTTGCACCTGAGACAGTTCAGGTGATTAAGAATCTAGTCTGGCATTATTAAAAATGGCTGCTGAAGAAGTAGAGACTCTGCAGGAACAGATGAAACACATGACAGCCTGCCACCTGAGCAACTGGAGAAAGGATTTGCTGGATCAAGTAACCCTAACACTGCTAAAACCCCAGGCGGATGTGAAGACGCCTCATTACACTTCCAATTTTCTTTTCAGATTGCTTTTGTGAGGAGGGTAGGGAACTGCATGAAAGCAAAACTCATCAAGACTGAGGAGCTGGAACATACCAGAATCAAGATTTCCCTGCGCAACTTCAGTTTGGCTTTTACAGTAGGGTACAATATTATTTTTCCTTTGAGACTCCTGCCTCACTGAGTACACATGGTGGACCAGGCCCTGAGGTCTAAATAAAGCTTTGTAAGAGACTTCCCTTTTTTAGCACAGAAGCTCTTTGGCAAGAAGTGAGTGGAGAAAAGACTCTGGAAAGGTGGGAAAGTTCCTTCACAGATTTATACTCCCTTCACTCTTACCACATATTCGCTACACATGGCTGACGTTTTTTAATCCAAACTTTTCAGAATTTTAAGCGTAGTCCTGATTTTGAGGACTGATTTGAGGACCAAATTTGAGATTTGGTTTCTCGAGGTACAGTTTCACATTATACTTAACCCACAGCTGGTTTACATTAGTGCAGAAGGAGAAACAGCTTTCATTCATATCGGAGCAAATACTCACTAGAATAGCTTCCATCTGACAGAAAGCCATCCCCACAAAACTGTTAGATCAACTGTCCCTGCAACCATCCAACCACTAAATCCACTACAAAGAGAGCAGCAGTAACCCACGGCCAGTGACGGCGAAGGAGTGAGACCACACTCTTCAGCTGCAGCCCGCACACTGACCAAACTATGTATTCACACTGTTAAACTGCACCTTGATTTGCTGAGGAGCCAGACAGTACAGCTGCCACTGAAGCTTTGCATTCAGAGTATTAGATAACACTCTAAAATCTGATTACAAAGTCAACCAACTCGTTTCAGATTTCTGTGTTCAATTTAAGACATACTTTGGCTTTCCTCCTTTTTTTATCCTAGTTTCCCCATTTGTAAAGTAAGAAGAAGGGGGGAGGGGGGGAAGACCATCTGTTAATCTCTCTGTGTTACACTGGAATACAGTTTGTGCTTGAGAAACATTAAAATATTGCTGTGGTAACTACTACTGAAAAGTCCAAGGGTCCAAAAGCAGAGAGTGGGTGGTGTCTTCAAAACAAGAGAGACAGCTACTATGAAGTAAATGAGATATGGCAATACTTAGCAATCAATAAGCAAAATACACTACCCATTATGCGAGCATAGTCCACTCTGTCCACTAGCATAAGTAGAGATTAAAAAAAAGTCTAGCGACAACCAAGTGCTGTTATCACAATGAATACACATAAGCACCAATGCGAAGCTGCACACGTAGTTTAATTCTAGTATTTATTTTTAGCACGCACCTTTCTGCAGCCACAGTTATGTTCTGAACAGCCTGGTCGTGAAAAGTTACATGGCTTGTTCCGATACTCGCCCTGCACTTCTTACACAAGAGACCATTCAGGTCAAAGTTTAGCTTTGCCAGAGGGCAAATCTAGCCGAGACAGCAACACACACGCCAATACCAACGGGAGACGTGACAACAGACGCAGTAAACAGGAAAAACCAGCCAGCTACAGCTGGCAAAAACTGACTGACTTCTGTGTACGTGTAAGTCGTAACAACAGACGCTACTCTTCCCAAAAGGAAAGATACTAAGGAGGAGATTACAATAACAAGCCCTCGTTTATTCCTCTAGGTGTAATAAAAATAGCAGTACCGAAACCAAGGTTTCGGGTAACGTACACGTTTCACACACACTGAACGTATCCCCAGACGAGCTCAAGCGCTCTCCTCCAGCGGCTCCTCGTCTGGCATCGCCGCGGCTCCCGGCCCTCCTACAGCACGGCGACCATGCCTGGGGAGAAACGGGAGGCAGGTGAGAGAGTCCGGCAGGCCGCATCTCGGCGAGAAAAAAACCGGCAAGGCCGGGCCAGCGGCGGAGACCGG